AGCCACTTTTGCAGCTAGACCTGGCTGTGGAACTGAGTTCTGGCCAATGGGATGAGGGCAGAAGACACATGTTCAAATCTGGGGTCCTGCTCTTTAAAAATGACCGTGTGATCTCTCTCCCTCTCGCTCTTCCTTCATGCTGGCTCAGAACCGCGCAGGAAAGCCATGTGTCGACAAGAGCAGAGCCGTTATAATGGCCCTAGGCTGTTTCAACTGCATACTGTTAAGTAAGAGAGAAATAAATGTTTCTAAAGATTTTTTATTTATTTACTTGACAGAGAGAGGGAGCACAAGCAGGGGGAGAGGCAGGCACAGAAGAAGCAGGCTCCCTGCCGAACAGGGAGCCCAACATGGGGCTCGATCCCAGGACCCTGGAATCATGACCCAAGCCGAAGGCACATAACTAACTGAGCCACCCAGGCGCCCCGAGAAATAAAATCACATAGTTTTTTCCTTGGAGGGGGTCTGTTTGTTACAGCCACTCGAAGTGTTCCCTAATCAATACGGTGTGTAGCAATTCGGTTAAAGCTTCTCCCCCTAAGCTTCAGGCTTATGCCTGCCGCCAGCACAGCGCCCCGCCCGTGGTGAGCATTGGACAGATGTGTGCAAGTGGATGAGTGGGAACTTGGGGGGACAAGCAGGGTTGGGGACAGAAATGGAAATCCTAAGGGTGAACATGCCTGGGTTTGTGGGAAGAGGAAAGAGGTTCCCTTGAAGCTGACGGTATTAGTTTTGCTCTTGCTGTCATGACAAAGGGTCACAAAGTAGTGGCCTAAACATAAATTTTTTATCCTTGCGTTCTGGAGGTCAGAGGTCCGAAATGGGTTGAGAGGCTGCATTCCTTCTGGAGGCTCTAGGGCAGAATCCACTTCCTTGACTTTTCCAGATTTGGAGGAGCCCGCGTTCCTTGGCTCGTGACCCTGCGTCATGCTGACCTCTGCTTCCGGGTCTATGTTCGCTTCCCTGACTCAGATCCCTTCCCTCTTACAAATAAGGACCCTTGTGCTGCACAGGACCTAAATAATCTGGGATAACCCCACTCCCACTGCCACCTCATGATGCTGTATTTCATCACAACTGTGAGGGCCCTTTGGCCACTACAACATTTTCCCAGATTCCAGGAATTGGGACATCACGTGTGGGGGTGGCGGGGGACCTCATTCTGCCCAAGGCACAAGGCCAAAGGAGCTCACTCAGGTCACCTGCAGCGTGCTGAGCTCCGCGGGCCACACTGCGAGGCCCCGGACACACCTGGTCCCTCTTGGGTGGAGCTTGTGGTCTCGTCTGGGAGAGAGAGGATCCGAATACAGTTCGGGTCCGATAGGGCTCTGTGGGAACACACTTGGGCCGGGCAGCAGTCTGCAGTGGAGACAGCATCCAGTCTGAGACCAGAAGGAGGGGCGTGCTGGCGCAGGCGTGAGCGCGTAGAAAGGAGAGCTGGTCTGTCACAAGGGCCTTATGAGCACCCTGGGAGTGATGAGCATTTGTGGGTGACAAAAGGAATCACGGCCTGGGGGCACCTGGGTGGTGCGGTCAGGAAGGCATCTGACTCTCCGTTCCGGCTCAGGTTGGGATCTCAGGGTTGTCGTGGGATCAAGCCCCACATGGGGTTCTCCACGCTCAGTGGGAGTCGGCTTGAGATTCTCTCCCTCTCTCCCTGCCCCTCCCCCTCTCTAAAATAAATCTTTAAAAAGAGAGAGAGAGAAAGAAAGAGGAACCACTGCCTCAAGAACAGTAAATTGCTTTGCAATAGTTAAATGTGATAATAGTCCCCTTTCTCTTCCTCATTCAAAAGTGGAAGTGACGGGGGCGCCTGGGTGGCTCAGCAGGTGGGGCCGCCGACTCTTGGTTTCTGCTCAGGTTGTGATATCAGGGTCCTGGGATGAAGCCCCACGTCAGTCTCCAGGCCCAGTGGGGAGTCTACTTGAGGATTTTCTTTCCCTCTTCCTCTGCGCCTCGCCATGCTCTCATGTACTCTCTCTATCTCCAAAATAAATAAATAGGGACTCCGGGGTAGCTCAGTTGGTGAAGCGTCTGAGCTTCACCTGGGCTCAGGTCATGATCCCAGGGTCCTGGGATCGAGCTCCGCATTGGGCTCCCTGCTCAGCGGGGAGCCTGCTTCCTCCTCTCCCTGTGCAGCTCCCCCCACTACGTGTGCTGCTTCTCTCTCTCTCTCTCTCAAACAAATGAATATGATCTTTAAATAAATAAATCTTTAAAAATAAAAATAATATTCTATCAATATTATCTGTCAATAATATTACATTTTTCATCCAGCTAGCCTTGATTCCCTTCTCATCTTCATACACACATTTTCCACCTCAGAGCACTTCTCACCACTCAACACTCATGTGTTCCTTTCCTGATTTATGCCTACCTTTCGTGGGGCACACATCCTCTTCTGTTGTTATTAAATTTTCCAACTCCCCCTCCCCCTCTGCCCAGTGAAGAAGAAATCTTCAGGCTCATTGGATAAATAAACGCATAGGTTGGTTGATGGATACTGAGTAAGTATAAATAGGTCAGTGGATTCATAAACTGACAAACTGATTAATAAAGCGAGGAATGAATGAATGTAAGAATGAATGAATGATACATAAGGGCAAAAGGAAGGTTGTATATTCAAATAAGAGCAAGAGGAGGGGCGCCTGGGGGGCTTAGTTGATAAGCGGCTGCCTTCTGGCTCAGGTCTTGATCCCAGAGTCCCGGGATCAAGCCCGGCCCCATGCATCTGTCTGCCTGCTCTGTGGGGAGCCTGCTTCTTCCCCTCCCACTCCCCCTGCTGGTGTTCCCTCTCTCGCTGTGTCTCTTTCTCTGTCAAATAAATGAATAAAATCTTAGAAAGAGCAAGAGGAAAGGGGATGAATGGTTGGCCAGGACAGAAAGAAACAAGGATGAGAATCAGTGGATGACAGTGAGTGGGGGGAGTGGTTGGATAGCGAAGGAACTGGAGAATGAATGGATGCAGGGAGCTGAAGTACGAGCTCATGAGGAGCCTCCCTCATGGGCTACTGACTTCCTGTGTGACTGTCGGGGGCTTCATGCCACCCTTCCATGCTGCCACTGCCCATCTGTAGAACGAGGAGCCTGGATTTGATGCCTTTGCAGCCCCATCCAGGTCTGGGTCCCTCCTGTGATACCGGGTCCCCGCTTCCCCCTTGATTTCCCACATCCACATCCAGTTCATGGGGAGATAGCCCAGGATATGCTCCGCAGGAGTCCCGCATCATGACTCAGTACAGACCCAGAGAGTCCTGCTTCCAGTCTCTCCTCCCATCCCTTCAGCAAGTCGGTGGACCCAGGCAGCTAATCTGACTTCAAATTTCAGTTCTGCTTAATTGCAGTATCCAAATCTCAGCCACCAGGAGAACTGGGTATTGAAACAGCATCATTTTATGCTGTTTAGCTGTATTTTGAATTTCCCAGTCTTTACACAAGTCCAGAGATCAGTTTCTGTAACCAAAGAACACCAACAAATATTGCTCAACTTCCTCAAATCGTGTCTCATCATGGGTGTTAGGGAGCTGCTCCATCAGTGAAGAGAATCATGATCAGCATTTTTAATAAAGTGGATTATAATAAAATAATATGTGAATATGGCTTCATAGAACTCGAGCTCTAGTTTATAGATGTAAATGGATCTGTGTACAGGGCTGTGATGTAAGCTTTGCTTCCTGCTCATGTCTCCCCAAAAGGGGGGTGGGCAGGATAGGTTAAAACTGCTGACCTTTGCTTTTCTGATCTCTCTCCACATGTTGGGGAGAAGTTATCTTGTTTGGTTATCTCCAACCAACATTGTAGATACTTCCCCTCCTCTTTCAGGGATTAAAAACTCAGGAGGGTCTGTAGATAGCTCAAGGCTATTCCATCCCCCTGGAGGGGCTTTCCAAAAAATGGAAGGCATCCTCTCCTTCATAAAGTGGGGAGAGGAGGAGAGGACGGTGGAAAATTTAGTAACAGTCGAAGAGGATGTATGCTCCATCAAAATTAGGTATAAAGCAAGAAAGGAGCGGTAAGAGGTGCTTAGAGACCGAAAATGTGTGTATGAGGATGATAAAGGCATCTGAGTTACCAAGATTAAAACAGAAGTTAAATTAATAAACTCTGGAGAAACTGAATGTAGTCAGGCCTTCCAGAAAGAGAGGCAGGAGGGGAGAGCAAACAGGCTGCAAGGGGGAAGGGTTTGCATTATCTTTACAACTGTGGAGGCCACCAAGAGCCATGGGAAGCAGGCTAGGCACCAGTGTAAGTGTCCAGGTCGGAGCTCTAGGGCACACACTGCCCTTGCTCTTGCCTTGACAATGGACTCCGCTTAATCATAATGACAGCTCCAGAAAACAGCCTGCACTGCATGCAAATGAAGCTTTAAATAGGGAAGAAGTTGTCCTTGATCTGATCTGGGTCTACCTTTGGGGAAGGACTGAGGAGGGGTTTGGAAGAGGTTTGCCATGATGTCATGAAGGAAGTGGCAGTGAATCGCTTAAAGGTTCAGCTTTTCATGTGCGGTGGAGGGGGAGAAAAAGAGCTAACTAACGTCATTCCAGCCCAGATGAAACCGCAGATACAGGATAGCTAACATTTATTGAGCATTTACTATGGGCCAGTCACTTTCAAGGGCTTTGCGTGTATTGCCCACTTTATCCTACAACAAGATTAAGAAGTGGGCATTATCAGTGAGCCCATTTTACAATCAGTGCAACTGAGACTTGGGAAAGGTCTCTTTCTTAATAATCCAGTGAGTGAGCGGTGGCTGGCACTGGGAATTGAACCCAGTCCTTGTGACCAGGAAGCCTTAACCATGGATAGAGCCTTCCACTGACCTACTAGAAGAATGACCCAGAAGGGAGCTAGAACACACTGTAGGAAGCGTATTATGACCCAGAAGCTGGGCACAGCCAGAGGGACTGTGGGGCTCTTGGGAGGGCCAGTCCAACCCCAGGAATCCTGGTCTCTGGGAGGTCTTCTCACACTGCAGGCATCTGTATCCAGTCCTCTGGGGCTCAGGGCCTGACACCTGGGGCATGGTTCTGGCTGCGCCAGTCAAGAATGATCAGTGTGCCCAGAGAGATGAGCACCAGGCCGGCCAGCCCCAGACGGAGGACGTTGCCCTGCGTGTAGTCCCAGGATCCTGAGCCTGCAGGACGGCAAGGGAGAGGCCTTGGCTCCGGAACCCACGGTCTGGGCCTGCCATCTGGGTCTCCAGCCTCCAGGGTGAGACTGGGGACACAGCTCCCAGTCTCAAAGTTGTAGTGGATAGGGGCAGGGGTCCTGGACTCCTGGATTTGGGGAGGAGGGGGGTAGGGTCCTGACCCCCAGGTTGGGAAGCAGGGAGAGAGGCTGGGGCTCGGACCCCTGGGCTGCGGAGCAGGGAGGCACCAGGGTCGGACCCCCCGGGCTGGGGAACAGGGAGGCACCGGGGTCGGACGCCCCGGGCTGGGGAACAGAGAGGCACCGGGGTCGGACCCAGGGCTGCGGAGCAGGGGCCGGGGCGGGGCGCGCCGCTCTCACCGTGGTCGGCGCGGATGACCAGCGGCTCGCTGCGCAGCGACAGCACGTACGGGGAGGACGGCGTGTGGTAGTAGCAGCTGTAGGTGCCGGGCGCGCGGGCGCCGGGCAGCGGGAAGTCGGCCCAGGGCTCGGCCGAGTCGCGGTACTGCAGCGGCGCCGCCTCGCCCGCGCGGTACAGCGCGAAGCTCATGCCCCGCAGGCGGCCCGCGCAGCGCAGGCTCACGTTGGCTCCGGGCGCCACCACCGGCCCGGGCAGCGCCACCAGCGACGGGGGCGGGAGCTGGTCTGCGAGGGGCACGGACCGGGACGAGCGCTGGCGTGGCCCTGCGCCGCCGGACCTTCGCCCCTCTTCGCTCCCGCCCCTCCTCCCGCGCCCTGTCCCCCACCTCCCTCCTCATTCCCTCCCTCCTGCCCTCTCTCCCTCAGTCCCGTCACCGGCCCCCTAGCCTGTACCTCACTCTGCACTACCTCTCCCCATCGTGTCTCTCTTTATCTCTGCCAGTGTCTCCCACAGTGTCTCTGCCTCCCTGTCGGTCTCTGTGCCCTTTGCATCCTTGTCCCTGGCTCCCTGTGTGTCTTGTCCCCAAGTGCACCTTTCTCTGTGGCTCTTTCTCTCCCTGGATGTCCCCTTTTCTCTCTTGGCCGGGGAGCCTCACCAAAATTCTCTTCCTGAGTCCGGTCCTGCGTGTTTCACTACCTGGATCTCAGAGGCGGCCTCTGGAATTGCTTCCGGTGTTCTGGGTTTCTCCCAAGGTTTCCTAACCTCAGCGCTCAAATCTGGATAATTCTTTGTTGTAGGGGTGGGGATGGGGACTGTCCTGTGCATTGTTGGATGTTTTGCAGCGTCTCTGGTGGTAGTGACAACCAGCAGTGTCCCCAGATATTGCCAGAAAGGTCACCTGGGGAGCACAGTCCCCTGGTTAAGGATCACCCCTTTCTCCAGTTCTCTCTCTCTCCCTCATAGATCTTGTTGCTCTGGGTCCTCGTACAAGTCTGTCTCTGTATGTCTCTTTCACTATATCTCTCCCTGTATGTCTCCGTCCCTCCTTCTCCATCCCTCATCACACCCCAAAGTCCCTTCTTCCCCCCCCCCCCCCCCCTGCCAGGACCTCACCTGTGACCAGCAGTTCCAGCGTATCGCTGGGGTGAGACCAGACACCCAGATTCCAGCCTGGATTTCTGTAGCAGCAGTGGTAACTGCCCCCCTGGGCTGGGGTCACCTCCTCCAGGAAGAACTCTGCCAGCTCCATGGACACATCCCGGTACAGCACAGGGGTGATCTTCCCAGACTTGAAGAGTGCAAACCTCCAGGCAGGTTGAGGTGCCCGGCACCTCAAGGTCACATTGACCCCAGGGGTTACAATTGCGGCAGGCTGAGCCCCCAGCGATGGCTTGAGGGATAAGGCTGGGGGGACTGAATTAACAGGGCTGCTGGGTCCGTGGGCTTCCTGGGAGCCTGAGGAGATGGGGGTGGGAAGAGAATCACCTGGGGCAGCCCCTTCCTCCTTCTCATCCTTAGTTTCCTGCTTCTAAAATAGGGGAGATGGTGGACCCCAGTCAGGGGTTGGCAGCCCTCACTGCAAAGGAGCATAGCTGGGCAACTACCAAGCTTTACTCCATGGTTTTTAAACATAGTGTTAAGGGATTGGGTCCCAGAAATCTGTAATTTTAAATGCTCTTCAAACTATTTGTGACATGGTCAACATATTTCAGTAGTTGCCAAAACTTGCTATCTATATGAGAAAAAAATAAAACAAAAGAGAGGGTATAGCCCTACCTCAGACCAAATTCCAGACCAAATTCCCCCAAACCAATTCCAGGTTAATTAAAGACCTATATTGTTTTATTTTACTGTAAAAGTATTAGAAGAAAATATAGGAAAATGCATTCGTCCTGGGGATGGAGAAAGTGATCTTAAAATATAAAACAAAAAATTCAGAAGAGACAAGGTTAATTTGATGACTGCAAAATTTTAAAGTTGTGTAGGAGAATAGACAAATGGAGCTAGACCGCAAGCAACATCACAGGCAGAAAGGACTCATTCATTCATCACATAGATTAAGAGTATAGAAAGAAATCCCAAACCCAGCCGAGTTGAAAATTGGACAAAACACATGAATCAGGCAGGGCACAGAAGAGGAAGTCCAATAGGTGAAAACACACGGGGAGGGGGGGAAGTTGCTTAATGTTACTAGCAATCATTTAAAAAAATTAAAACAACAGGGGTTTTTTTGCCTATCAGGTTGTCAAAACTTAAAATAATGGTTTATATTCTATTTGGGTGAAGACACGGTGAAACAGGTAGGTAGGTACACTTGAGTGTACCTTTTGAGAAAGCGGTTTATTCCTTTCTGTCTAAATACATGAAGGGCATACCCTCATGATTCCACCGTTTCATGCTAGACCACAGTACGTACACCGGCACAGAAAGTTCACACTGGAGTACTCACTGAGGCGCTGACTGGCGTGGGGCTGGGGAAGGACACAGGAAAAAACCTAACTATGCATGAAGAGGGCCAACTAGACCCCAGCTACACAGCGGCAAATGTTCCGTAGCTGTTAAAAACATGCAGTTAGGGGCACCTCCGTGGCTTGGTGGGTTAAAGCCTCTGCCTTCAGTTCAGGTCATGATCCCAGGGTCCTGGGATGGAGCCCAGCATGGGGCTCTCTGCTCATCGGGGAGCCTGCTTCCTCCTCTCTCTCTCTCTGCCTGCCTCTCTGCCTACTTTTGATCTCTGTCTGTCAAATAAATAAATAAAAATCTTTTGAAAAAAAAAAAAAACCATGCAGTTAATTATAACGATATGGCCACATCTCCAAGAGAGATTGTAAAGTGAAAAACGTGCAGAACAATGTGTCATGAAATATCATTTTGCCTTGGCAAGAAAACAAGGGAGTATATAAATATATGTATGCGTCTGAATGCATGGAAATTTCTTGTAAGGATTTAGAGCTTATTTAAGGAAGATGAGGAAGGGGAAGAGGGAGGTTATATGTCCTTTGGGAATCATGTTCTAAACCATGAATATATGTTAGCTTTAGCTTTAAAAATAATAACTTAAAATAAATTGATAGCTGGAGCGCCCTGGGTGGCTCAGTGGGTTAAAGCCTCTGCCTTCGGCTCAGGTCATGATCCTTGGGTACTGGGATCAAGTCCAGCATCGGGCTCTCTGCTCAGTGGGGAGCCTGCCTTCCCCACCCCCCCGCCTGCCTCTCTGCCTACTTGTGATCTCTGTCTGTCAAACAAATAAATAAAATCTTTTAAAAAATAAAACAAATTGATAGCTAAGGTATCAGTGGTTTTCCAGGAGATTTTTATTTGAAGTTGTGGTGTAGTGGGGAGGTTTGAGAGACAGAGATCTCACCAGTCAGGAGACCTGGAAAGAAACTCAAGGCTCTTTCCGGGTGAATGATCCTACTCTGGTGGAAATGGGCTTCCAAATGGGGGAATAATTGGCATTGCCAGAGGTCCTATTTCTTGAGCCCCACACTGTGCCAAGCTTTGAGTCAAGGGTTTTACACATGTGATTTTTTAAAATTCATTAAATTCTTTTATTTTTTAAGTAATCTCTACACCCAACATGGGGCTCAAACTCACAACCCCAAGATCAAGAGTCACATGCTGCACAGACTGAGCCAGCCAGGCGCCCCGTACACGTGGGTGGTTTTAGTAAATCCTCACAACAGCCCATTTCACAGAGAAGGAAACTGAGTAGCAAGCAGTGGTTCGTTCAACGTTGTAAATGAATAACATGGTGAAAGTGGGGTTCCAGCTTAGGTCTCTTTAGCTCCAAAGTTCATGGTCTTCTCTACCCACCTATGCTGGTCACTAAAGGAAATAAGATAAGAAGGAAAGAAAGGAAGGAGGGGAGGGAAGGAAAAGATGAAAGAAGAGAGGAGAGGGAGGGAAATATGGAAACCTGAGGTGAGGCGGAGCACCAAAATAAAATGTGAGTAACTGGAAATGGGCTTCTAGCAGCTTGCAGGTGAGTGGATGGGCGATATTACTCACCAGCTGGAGTGACGTCTCCATGACACAGAGGCCCTGTAGACGGTGGAGGAGCTGAGTCTTTTCAGAGCGCTAGGCTTCTCCCAGTCCTACCTCGCTGCAAACTCAGGAATCTAAATCCTTCCTCTGGGAAATGGGAATCTAACCCATAAGTCCTCTCTCAGTAGCTCTAACTCAAGGCTCGTAATCCCCACCTACTTCAGAAGCCTGAAGTCTGGCCCCAGCCCCCTCTTGCCTCTACACCCAGTGTTCAGACCTCTGGACTCCCCCTTTTCCAGAAAGCAATAATCGGAGCCCACAGTTTCTTCTCCCCGGGCATCAGGAGTCTGGGTCACCAGCTCCCTCCTTTCCCAGAGATCCAGGTGTTCTGGCTCCATGTCTTCCTGCTCTGAAATCTTGGACTCTACTTGCTATCCCCAGGAGTTCAGGTCCTTAGCACCCTCCTGCCTCAACACCCAGAAAATGCTGCCCCCAGTCTCCTTGTCCAGGAACAGGAATTCAGGACCCACGTGTCCTTCCTTGATAGGACCCAAGGATCTAGGTCCTGTCCCCTTATTCCGGTCTAGAATTCCAAACCTTCAGCTTGGGCTGCCTGACCACGGTGCACCTGCCCCAGGGAGAGTCAGTAGCCCTCTTCCTTTCCCCCTCTCTACTCAGGGTGTCCAGGTCCCCAGAGCCTGTCTCTCTGCACCCCAATCAGCCTGAGACCCAGGGAGAAGGGGGCGGTGGCTCACGGAGGGTCAGGAGCTGGAGGATCAGCACCAGAGCCATGGCGGGCAGATCTCGGCTGGAGCAGAAGCAGGAGCCAGGGCTCAGCTGTGCCGTCTCACCTCTCAGGAAATGCAATGTCCGAGAGCCAGAGCCAGAGCTCTGTTTAAGGAAGGGAGGAGGGAAGTGGGGGCCTCTGGGAGACTGTGTCACAGCCCCATGGTGCTGCGGAAAAACCTGGGAGAAGGGGCAGTCATAACCAGTTGTGTTTATCAAGTAAGCTTAAAAAGAAAAAAAAAAAAAGACTAGAAAGTATCATGTATTATGTACCAGACCCTGTGCGGCGCTACTTTGGGGGCACAGAGAGGCGTCAGACCCTATTAATGCCCTAGCGCAGCGCCCAGTCTGAATTAAAGACAGGCGGACCAGCTGGGTTACAAAAGAAAGTGAGCTACCCTGGAAGTCACAGGTGGCTCTGAGAGGATCCACAGACGACCCCTGGGTCGAGACCCTCTGGGTCTCCTCTGGGACGAGAGTGAAAGCTTCCAGGACGAACTGATGTTGAGCTGCGACCGCAAATGATAGTGTCATCTGTCCTCGCCCGGCCTCCGTTTCTCCGTCTGTGAAACGGGCCTTCGTGAGTAAACTCTAAAATGAAGACTGTTGCATTCCGCCTTGGATGGGCCGTGGCTTGGATGGAGCACACCTCAGGCTGGACTCCTGGGTGAGGAGACAGGTCGGCGTTTAATTCTGCAGCGCCGTCGGCGTTTCCGCGACCGCTTCTGACAGCTGTTCTTCTCCAGTGCGCACGCGCAGACTCAGGGGGCTGAGGCTGGCGCGCGGGGACCACAACTCCCAGAGTGCTTCGCGCCCTCTGCCCCCCGCCCCCCCGCCCTGGACCGTAGTTCCGTGCCAGGGCTCTCGCGCAGACTCGGAGAGCGAAGACTCTGGCGCAGGGACCACAATTCCCAGAGTGCTCCGCGCGCTGGCTCGCGGCTGCCGCCGACGCTGCGACCAAGATGGCCGGGAGTAAGTGAGGGAGGCCGCGGGCGCGCGGGGTCCGGTGGTTCCGGGAGCCCCGGTAGTGCTGGGGCTGGGGCACGGCGGAACCTCCGTGGAGGCGGTGGGGTCCTGGCCGGAGGGGGTGCCGAGGTCACGAGAGGGCTTCTCCAGGGCGGGGGCGGCGCGGGAGGGTTAGAGGTCACCGGAGTCGTCCCCTGCTGGGGTGACCCTCTTCCCCCGCCCCTCCAGGACTCGCCACCTTCCTCAAGGAAGCCTGGGCCAAGGAGCCGGTGCTGGTCGCGTCCTTCACCATCGGGAGCCTCGGTGCGTGAGCGTGCATCGCCCCCACCGTGCCCCAAGGCCCCGTGCTCCCCACTAGCGTTCCATCCTGTACCCCTCCACGTTCCGTGGCCCCCTCGTGTGTCGGCCCCCCCCCACGACGACCTCTTGCCCACCCCATCCCTAATATTATGACCCCTTCACCAGCCCGCTCCTTCCCACCCCGGGCACACCAACCTGACTCCCCAAGGAGAGGTTCTCAGCCCCGCTGTGTCCTGAAACCACCTGAGCGACAAAAATAAGTGTCCAGATGCTCCCCGTCTTTCACCCTCGCCCCCTCCACGCTCGGTGGGGAGCTCGTGGGGTGGCGGTGGCGCAGGGGAAGCCGTGTGCTGTGAAAATCCCTCCCCGGTTCTGTGGACAGGCGCTGTCCTAGATCGGGGCAGCCCGCGCTGTCAGGTGCGGGAGGTCGCTAGGACGCAGGCTGTCACTGCTCGGGGCTGGGCTGGGGTCGGGGACGCGGCCCATCCCCCGGGCCCCCAGATCTTGTCGGCGCGGCCGGTCTGTGGGTCACACGCCGCGGGTGAGGTTGGAGAGCTGTTGTCCCTGCCGGCAGCCACGGGCCACCCTGGCCGCTGAGCGCCTGAAGCGCAGCTCCTAGGAATTGAGCTGGTACACTCCGCTCGCGGAAAGGACGCGCTGGATTGCGGAGAGGGTGACAAGTCTACAAGATATCTCCGCTTCTTTCGATCATACGTTGAAACGACGTTTCCCCTATGCTGGCTTAAATCATTTTAAAAATTGATGTGTTTTCAACTTTATTTTTAATGTGGCTGTTAGAAGGCGTAAAACTAAGGTGTGGCTCTCACGATTCTATCGGACAGTGTCGCCTGGAACTTTGCTCTTACCCCCTACCCCTGCCCCCCAGACTCCTGGCTCCCACCCTGGGCGGACTGTGGACTGTAATTTCCCAGTGACTAGTCCTCCTACAGCCCTCCCTTCCTCAGTTTGTAACAGTTCATGATTCTTCTGGAAAATTCCCAGAGCACTCCCCTCAGCACTGCCCTCTGCTCCCTGACCCCCTCTGGACATGCACTGAATACTGTGACCACCCCCATGGCTCCCCCACCCCCCACCCTCTAGATCCCATGTGTCCTTGAATTGCTGGCTCCCATCTCCTCTCCTGCTGGTAAACGGGGATCCCATAACGCCAGGGGGTCTCCTGGAGGGTCAGGAACTCCCTGCTCCCCTCCTCCCATGTATTTGACTCATAGTTTGCCAAGGTTTTGCTTCTGCCCCTTCCCCTCCCACCCCCGCCTGAAAGCCCCCCCCCTCCCCTGGCCTCACCCTTGTCTCTCCACAGCTATAATTCTGCCGGCTTTCAGCCCCTTCACCAAATACGCCGCCATGATCAACCAGGTCACGCCCTACAACTATCCAGGTGAGTGGGAGCAAGGACTGGCTCCAAGTGGGAGTGGGGGTTGTGGGGTAACCTCCTCCTGCCAGAGGAGAAAGAGTCATGGGCAGGTCTTTCCTCTGCCGCGGTCTGAGAATCTGCAGTGTGGGGTGGACTTCTTTCTTCTGAGATCTAGTCCATGTGCCGTAAAACTCATTTCCTGTCTGTTTTCACACTTTTGTTGAGTTTCTGTTGTCATTCCACATTTGTATTCCTTTCTGGATTTTCGTCATTCTGCTTCTCTCTGTGCTTTCCCATGCCTGTAGGTCTCTATCGTCCTGCTTCTCTGTGTCCTCTCTCTCCCCTGGGGTTCCCTTTCCCTCTTTGAATATGAACTGACAGACTAGCCTTTAGGAGCCTCCCAAGATCTGCTGGTCTCAGTGGCCCGCCCTCCTGCCCCCCAGTGCCCGTCCGGGATGATGGGAACATGCCTGACGTGCCCAGCCACCCTCAGGACCCCCAGGGCCCCAGCTTGGAGTGGCTGAAGAACTTGTGAGCACCCCCGGTGACACGGAGGCAGACCCTCCCCTGGAGTCAATAAAATGCGAAAAGCAACCCCAGAATCAGCTCGTGTGTGAGCACAGGTGGAAACAGTAGACGGCCAAGGCGTTTGTGGGGGTCAGTTTATTGGGGGTGGGGGTCAGTCAAAGGGAGGGCTGGCTAGGGTGGGGTATGGTAGCAGTTTGTCTGGCCCCCGAGAAACCCAGCTGGAGTCCAGGGCCTCATCTGCTTCAAAGCCAAAGTCTTCCTCGACCTTAATCTGGGGGAGAGGAGCAGGCGTGAGCAGGGTTCCCCTGTGCACCGGGGCGAAAACCCCGGCACTCCCGCCTTCCCTTCCACCAGTGGCCTCCGACTGTCCCTCCCTCTCTACTCTAGTCCTCTTTCCTGCTCCCCCCAGCCTCCTCCAGGTCTCTCTCCTTCCTTTTCCACCAGAGCCCTCACCTGGCTTTTCCCAGCTTTTTCTCCATCCCTACCCACCCCAACCATTCCAGCCCTACCTCCTTTCCCCAGTGGTCCCCAGCCCCCACAGCACTGTTGCCAAACCCAGGAGCCCTGGTCCCACCTGCACCGGGGCCAGCTCTGGACTCAACACGGCTCCCGCTCGGCGTCCGTCCCGGGTCGCTCGCCGCCTCTTGCGTCCGCTGGGCCCCTCACCGGGGGTCGGGCTGCTGGGTTCTGGGGGTGCAGGTGTCCTTCGGGGCGGGGACAGGCCCTCTTTCTCTGGAGGCTCATTTTCAGCATTGCCAGGGGTGGGGGCATCTGTGCCCTGGCTGCCCTCGTCCTGGTGGGGAGAAGGGGCAGCCAGTGAAGGCTCTGTCCTGGTGCCCAGCCCCTGCTCCCCCTGCCCCCCTGGCCTGCCCGGAGGCCGCACTCACCTCCAGGACGATGGTCAGCTGGCTGGCGCGGTAGTCATCGCCATAAGCGTCCAGCACTCTCATGAGGAACCTGTGTCCGGAGGCCACCAGGGTTGCAACTCAGCGTCTGGTGGGTGGGGAAAGGGACACCCCACAGCCCATCCCTGGCTCTGAAGCCAAGGTTGCCCTGGACCCACAGACCCAGAAGATTCGGGGCTTCCAAGTCTGAGACCTGGGCGCCAAATATCTGAGCAGCCCGCGGGACCCTGGGCCAGACAAGGGGACCTCTCTGCACCTGTTTCCTGCTCTGTCAACAGGACAGGACAACCGTGAGCGGGGTTGGGTGACAGGGTAGGTAGAAGGGGCATCTCCTAGTGCTTGGCCTACATTCCGCGGTCAGCCGGTGTCCTTATCAGTAACAGGAGGGCAAGAGAAAGACAGGTGCGGAGCCCTCCTGCGGGGACTGCCTTCTCTGCTTCCCCCCTGTGCCTGCTTCTAAGAACGCCGGGGATTTTGTAAGCTCTGAGTGTTGCCTGGGGGCCAGCACCCCGGCGGGGCACTTCACACGCCCCATGTGTCCAGTCTCTTACTGGGTGTGTGTCCCACGGGCTCACAGGGGTTCTCCGCCTAGTGCTACATCGGGGAACCACACAAAATCCCCTGTGCCTACTGAACTCGGGGGACATCAGCACATCAACACACAGCAAGCTAGGCAGGCAGACACAGGATGCCCGGAAGAGGGCTGGAACCTCCAAAAGATGGTGGGGGATGCCTCACTGAGAAGGTGAGGGAGTGGCGCGGGAGGAAGAGCCAGTGCCAGTGCTGAGGCCCTGCGCAGGAGCAGCATGTGTGCTGTGACAAAGGGCCTTCCTTATTGGCCGTTGTAGGATAATTCTGGCTCTGACTCAGGTGGGACTCCTTGCAGGGTTCTGAACAGAGAAGTGACTTGGTCTATCTTGCCTTTCCTTTTT